GTGTGCTTAGCTGTGAATCTTTCTTTTATGTATACTCTTATGTATTTTGTGTTCTAAACAAGCAAAAGAACATTCAAACGAAAAATCAGTCTTAATTACACTTGCGGTAACGCGGTGTATTTAGTTAATTAAAATATTACTTTTTTGTACAGGGCGCAGTGTTGTATATGAATTTTGATATAATAAGTAAAGTAAGATTAAGATAAAGGCTCTTTGATAAACGTATTTGTATATGGTGCCAGAGATTTTCATCCTGGAGCGTTTCTCTATTCTTTGTTATCTTATGTTATTTAGTATTTTTTAGGAATGTTATTTTGAGGATAATTGATAAAATGTTTTTTTCACAAAACGGTTAGTGGTAGGACCTCGCGTCTTTTTCTGGTCGTTAACGAAAGGTAGGTTTCGCATGCTTCGTGTGTCATTAGGCGAGTAGCTGTAGTTGTTGCCCACCTCCACGTGGTAAAGGGCGGGTGTGCAGAAGGATACGGAGTGCCTAGAAGATCTTGAAAAAAAGTTTCCATTGTTTAGCAGCCATCATGTCTTGCATGTTTCTGTTCTCCTGTACTATGGGTATGACCTGCGCGTAGCTGCTTTTAGGAGAGAAAAGAAGGAGTGGTTTTTATGAAGGCGGTTCGCCATCTGCACGTAAGGCGAAGGGTACTCAGGGGTGTTCGTGAAGTTGGTGTTCTCTTTTAATTTCTCACATGGGAATGCTGTTTACGGGCTAAACCACATTATATTTGGTCTTTGGTCTATTTCGAGGTATAAACCATTTCGACTTTAAAAACGCGGAGTTGATGTATTTTGGATATTTTGGACGAAAAACATTTTTGAAACAATGGCTTAGCACTGCTACGGTAAATTTTTAAATCTGGGCCTTCTAACAGAGAGTAAGGGCAGTCAGAGCGAAAAGTATTGGTTTGCCGGACTTAAGTTATCCGTATGTTTAGTAGTAAGTTAGAGAGATTCAAAATTAATGCGTTGTAGGAATAAAACAGAAATGTACGTTAGGAAAGTTTGAACACTTGTTTAGAAGAGGGAAGTTTTTTGCGTTCAGTTGAAGTAATCTGAAATAACGCGGTACGAATTGCGTCGTTAGGTTAATTTGGTAAAATTTTTTTTGGAGGACTCATTTATCTTCTCCGTAATCCAGTGGCGACCACTTTTTTCGCACTAACATAACAGCACTGGTAAATGTCAAGATGCATAGGTTCTACAAAAACGGAGAGGTCATTTTTTAAAGATTGTTCGCAACAACCGGAGCACAACTAATATAAGACTTTAAAAGTTTCATTTGCGTTTGAAGGAATGTAAATCCGTTTAAAGATTATTAATGGCTGAAGACAAGGAAACTTGTTGACATAAAATTAGGTAGAAGTTTTCCGAACCCTTTGGGAATCTTTTATTGGCTTAACCAAAAGCACTAGCGAAAATTATTCTTGTGCTTGGTCTGAACTACTGTTACTCTTCATATGGAGCATAGGTAAGAGCGAAGCACTGTCACTGGCGAGTGTGGTGTTATTTTATGTGATTAAACCTCAACTGTGTTTTAACGAACATTGATACTAATAATTTTTTAGTCTGGACAAGCGTAACAAGTTGTCAAAACTGACTGCAAAGCTTTTGAAGAAATGCAGTGGGGAAGTGATTGCCAAAAATTCTTTGCTTGCTGAGATGACTTTAAAAAAGTCACTGATGGCAATTCCATGAAACGAACATATCACCTCTGTCACTGGACAAATTCTTGAAAATCACTGAGGAAGTTGGGGAAGCCAGTTTTTTTTTTTTTTTTTTTTTTTTTTTTTTTTTT